GCCTATGTTCCCCCCATCTGGGAATTCGACGGACACCAGTTCGAGCATCTAGAAGATGCGCTCAGACAGTCCGCTCCCGGAGAAGTCCCGGACCACATCCGCGAATGGGTTATTGTGGCAATGAAGCTCACGGTCAGTACCGAAGTCGCCAAGGTCTACAATGTGCTCGGAAACAAGATGTACAAGCACAAGAAAGCCTTCGAGTCGCTGATCCAAAACAACAAGAGCGAACACCGACTCAAGGAGGGAGTGCTCCAGACGGAGATCAAGAAGCTCAAGGATAGGATCCTCGCGCAAGATGCGCATATGACAGTTTTGAATGACGAGCTCACGGGAACCCAGGCGGCAATGCTCGATACAGGCAAAGAAATGATGGAAATCAAGGCAGCTAACGTCAAGCTGCGACATGAGCTAGCTTCGCTCAAAGCAAGCAGCGTCACTGTGACACAAGGTCAAATGTCCAGCACGGTCCAATCGCACAAACCCCGCATCAAAATTGCTGAGCCTCCACACTACTCGGGCAAAGGAAGTCTGGAGGATTGGCTCCAACAACTCGGTATATGGATGCGGTGAAATGAGATCAATGACGACGAGCACAAGATCACCACGGCCCTGCTGCATTTGGAAGGTGGCGCGTTCACATACATGTCCGAATATGCGACCAGAGCAGCAGCACGGCAGGCACTTGGCACATGGGAAGACTTCGTCAACATTCTCAAAGTGAACTACAGAACCCTCGACCCGGACAAGGATGCGCAGCAGCATCTGAAGGATATCTGTGGCAAGACGTATCCCACGATGGTATCTTTTGCAGAACAGTTCCGCCAATGGGCCACTAAGACCAACTTAGGGCACACTGCACTCATCGGTTACATCGCTGAACACCGAAGCAAGGACGTACGCCAGGCAATGGTCACACGAGACAGTCTAGGAATTTCTGACCCCATCACATGGCCAGAATATCTCAACCTATGCCTTCAATTAGAGTCCAAGTTCAGACCGACAAGGCAGGACAATGTGGAACGGTTACAACATCATCATCATCGGCACCACGGGCCCTGAAAGACTCCAACGCAATGGTCGTGGATCGAGTATCCACCCTCACCAAGGAACAAGAAGGATGGCTG